CCCCCCCCGGGGGGATGGCCACGCCGCAGTCCCTTCTCCTCCATTCTCTTCTCGGGGTCTTGGGCACGCATGCACACGCGCCTGGTGTGAGTTTTAAGCCACCGGGTCCAGGGCTCGATCCACAGTCAATTACATGGGAGTCCAGCGACATAGCCATTACACTAACTGCTGTTCCCGCTTTTTGCTTTCTTAGCGACTTTTTTATTTTACAATGTTTTCCCACTCAGCCACCCTAGCATGGCATTCAGCTGGGGTTTGTCATCCTGTTTTTATTTTTTCTTTTCCTTGAGATGGTGAAACGTCTTTGTGTCTTTCATTATCCTGAAGCCAAAAGAGAGAGAGAGAGGGAGAGGGAGAGAGATATGGACGTTAGCTCTTATGTTTATGCTGTCATCTTTAAAATCACATTTTCCTTGTATAATTACTCCAGCGATTAGGTAACTTAACTGCCAATAGTTGCCCAGTAACTAGGCTCTACATTCGCCCAAGGCTGTGGTCCCAGTGGCTTGGACTTCACAGGAAAGGGGAACCAACCCTGGCCTAGGGCTCGGGTGTTCGGCAATGGCCTTCCCCACCTCCCCTTCCTCGCTCTCTGTAAAATTTATTACAGGAATTACTAATGTTTGCCAAATGTTCTTTTTTTTTTTTAAAGGCCTTTGCCATAGGCCGTGTACACTCACCAGGAGAGACAGAGAGGAAAAGGGAGAAAACATCCCCCCCAGGCAGGATGGCCACACCAATTCCTTCCCCCTTCTTTCAGGATTGTTGTGCATGCACCCACATGCGCCCAGAATAAGTTTCAAGCCTCCAGGTCTGGGACTTAGACGGTAGTTGGCCGTGTGGGAGTCCAGCACCACAACTACCACTCCACCTGCTGGACGCTTTCTTTTTATTAAATTGGCAGAGGGCACACTGGCTCGATAGGGCTGAAGACAAAGCACCTTCAACGGGCATGATCTGGCTGCAATCCCTTGGCCTCCATTTCTCTAGTCTATGGGGATTTCGGGCACCCAGGCTCATGCACTCAGAGTGTCTTTCAAGCCAGTGGATCCAGGATTTGAACTGCAGTCAGCCATGTGGGATTAGGCTCCCTTACCCATTAGGCTATGAGACTGGCCCTTTGGCAACCATTCTAAGAAAAAAGTATGGCAGAGACTAGAAAGTAACCTAAACAAAGGTTTATAAACTCTGAGGGAAAAGTGTTTTTTTTTTATCCTATTATTATGTTAAAAATTGGTATACTGGGAGGCTTGCACTTAGTAATGTACTTTTGCACTGGTGCAGATGTTGTAGTTTTCAGAGGTCTTTTCATTCCACCCCTTTTTTTTATTTATTTATTTTTAATTTTAATTTTAATTTTTTATTATCATCATAATCTTCTTTATATTACATTGGGTTACATATAACTTTACAGTGTATTACATTGCTTTTTCAAAAGGGAGTGCCATGCATGGCAGTCAGTACAGAGACATTAACCTCCCCACTTCAACATTCAGTATCTTTTCCACCCCTTATTTCAGACGAAGGAAACAACGGCAGTTTTTCACCTACTCTGTCTTAATTGCTGATACTGTGTCTATAAAAAATCTTTCAGGTTTACCCATAAAAACATGCTTCAGTAACTCCTTTAAAATCTAGAGCATTCTTGAAAAAAACAGACTAATGAAACTTTCCTTTTTTCTTTCTTAATTTAGCTTTTGAAGCATGTTTACATTTAATTAGCATTTTAGTTTTGATGGAGAGGTTTTTGTTATACGGCATACACTTGCCGAAAAGACAGAGACAGAGAGACAGAAAGCCAGAAATCACCCCCCAGGGGGGATGGCCATGCCACAATCCCTTCTCCTCCATTCTCCTCTCGGGATCTTGGGCACGCACGCACACGTGCCCGGCATGAGTTTAAGCCACCGGGTCCAGGACTCAAACCGCGGTCGAGTACATGGGAATCCAGTGATGTGGCCATTACTCCATCGGCTGATCCCTAATTAGCATTTATATTAGGGGATAAAAAGGTTTATCAGGCCAACCTAATAGCCTAGCAGTTAGGGGAGCTGAATCTCACGAGGCTATTTGAATCTTGGATCTAGCAGCGGAAAAACACTCCAGATGTGTGTCTATGCCTGCCCAAGGTCCCAACAGGGTAGAGAAACAGAAGAAGGGATTGCAGCATGACCACCCCCCATGAAGGGGTGAGTTTCCCCTTTTTCTCTCTCTTTGTCTGTCTGGCAAGCACATATACCCTCTGGCAATGAAAAAAGAAAGGATCCAGCCAGTGGTGCAGTGGTCAAAGTGGCTGGATTCCACATGTAGCCAACCACATGGCTTGAGTATCAGACCCAGTGGCTTAAGAAACACTCCAGAAAGACCAGCAGATGGCATAATAGTCATGTCACTGGACTCCCATGTAGTTGACCACAATTCGAGTCCCCGACCTGGCAACTTAAAACTCACACCCAAGATCCCGAGAGGAGAAAGGAGAAGAAGGGATTGTGGCATGACCATTTCCCCTGGGAGGTGATTTCTCGCTTTCTGGTTCTCTGTCTCTCTCTGGCAAGCGCACATGTGCCTCAAACAGAAGTCTCTAAAAGAAAAGAAGAAAAGAAAAGAAGAGAAAAGAAACACACTAGATATGTGTGTATTTGTGCCCAAAATCCCGAAAAGGGGAAATGGAAGAGACGGGATTTTATGTAGCATGACCATCCTTCAGGGGGTGCTTTCTCATTTTCCCTGACTCTCTCTTGCTGGCTTGCTCTGGTGAACACATGTGTCTTAGGGGAAAAAAAAAAAAAAAAGATTTAACTGTGCCTGTGATAAAAACAAGTGATATGTATAACTATTTTTTATTATTTCCAATATTGACCTGACAACCCTATCTGAAATATCAAACTCTTAAAAAAGGAATAACGTTTGTAATTTGTTTCCCACCTTCCTGCTTGTAATGTACGGAAAGAGTAAGTAGCAGAATGGTGTTTCATCAGAAACCGATCTGTTTTAACTTCCTGTATTTCTGTGTTTTCCCAGATATGATCTTTCTTCAGGGATCAGAGGTCATATTTAAAGTGGCTTTAAGTCTGTTGGGAAGCCATAAGCCCTTGATTCTGCAGCATGAAAATCTAGAAACCATAGTTGACTTTATAAAAAATACACTACCCAACCTGGGCTTGGTACAAATGGAAAAGACCATCAATCAGGTAGGATTCCGTCTAAACCTTTCGGACATGTAAGTGAGCCCAGATACGTGGAAGCTTACCTTTCTTTCGAGCAGGAGCTGTTTCCTGCCATCTTGTGTTCTAAACAGCATCAAGCACGATGCCTAGCATGTAGACGACACATCACAGACACGCTGGTGGTGGAATGTTTGTCTCAGTGTGTATGTTGTGTCACGGTGAGATGGTACATGAAAACACAGAAGCAATGTTTGGGAGTGAGAACCAGCACACAGGCTCAGTACTTTGTTACATTTAAGAGGCCTTCAGCTTTGGGGCTGGCAGGTGGCGTGGCTAAGGGCACCGGACTCTCACATGACTGACTGTGGTTTGAGTCTTGGGCCTAGCGGCTTGCTTTCTCACTTTCTCTCTCTGGTCAAAATTTTTAAATAAATAAATAAACAAATAAAGTTAAGTAAAATAATTAATTTTTTAAAAAAGAGGCTTTCAGCTTTAGTAATGTGTTCTTCTGAAACACATACATTTATACTATGCAACTTTTGTAAAATGAGTGCTTTTGAGTTTGTGCTGAATTTTATCAATTGGCATTTTCTGTAAGTAATTCTGATAACAAACTTGTGACGGGAAGCATATATTCTGTGCATATTTGTTCTGTGACATTGTCACAGAATTCAGGTCCGTCTCTATGGGGTTCAGCACCTCATTTCCAAATTCAGTGGACTCATTGCTCAGAAATGCTGGAAGTTGAGAGGAGTCTAGCTGGTAATAACAGCTGGACCAGATGCTGAATGGGCTGGGCTGGGCATGGGAGCAGATTTGGATTCTGTATCCGGAAACATCCCCCAGTAATGATGGTTGAGCTCCTTAGCACAGGGGGAGGCCATGTTGGCTGTGGGTGGAGTCCAGGTGGCCCAGCCACACTGGAAGGGATCTTACCACTGGGCTATGGTAGAGGTGGCAGATAGGTTTCTCTAGGCCTAGAACTACTTGGAATATAATAAAATAGAGGAACCAGGTAAACAAATGATGAAGTAAAATTGTTTTGTTTGGTTTTGTTTTTAATTGGGAGAGAATTTTGCTATATGGCGTGTGTGCTCACCAGAAAGACAGAGACAGAAAACAAGAAATCACTCCCCCAGGGGGGATGACCATGCCGCAATCCCTTCTCCTCCATTCTCCTCTCGGGATCTTGGGCATGCATGCACACGCGCCCAGTGTGTTTAAGTCACCAGGTCTGAGACTTGAACCATGGTCAACTACATGAGAGTCCAGCGACATAGCCATTATGTCAACTACTGGTCCCTGTTTCTGTTTTTTTATTTCAAATCTTTGTTCTGGGGACTTCTGATAGT